AAATATAAAACTTTTACTAGGATGTATTAACTAGTTAATCGGGCAATATTTTACGCGTAACTTACATTCCTATTTAAAATAACTTGATATAATAACATAAACAGAGTAAGCACTTATAGTCTAATGGTTAAGATCGCGGGCAGCTGAATGGAAGATTACGAGTTCGATCCTCGTTAAGTGCGATTTATCTTTTTATGAACCTCGTATGAAAATCTTATCTGATTCTTATGAGACACTTATGACTGTCGATGGGAAATCTTAAACAATCTTATATAAGAAACTGATAAGATTCTTATAAGAATTTTATAAGATACTGATAAGAGACTTATAGGTTTCTGGTAAGATTCTTATATAAGAATCGATCGCTAGGGTGTTAGGAGGATCATCCAATTTCATTCTAGCGCGTCAAGTTGAACAAAACGCAGAAGTGATATCAGGTTCTTCAAGTCTACAAGATGCACAAGAACAACAGGAGCAAGGTAACCAAAGCATAGACAAGTCTAAATCTCACTTTTTGCTATTTTTTCTTTTAAAGTGCTGGAAAAAATTTATCCTCGTACAGCATCAAATCCATTCCGTCAAAAGATTTCAAGTAATCAAGATCGAATAGGTTTGGATAACAACTTAAACTTAAGTTAAACATAAGTGCCCGTTCGGCATAAATAAAGCATTTAACCGTTTTGTTGTCTTTTTTATCCTTCATTTATTATCAACTCATTTTAACCTTTTTCCCTATCTTGGTTTTAGATAATCAAATCAACAGCGACAACATCTTGAATTCAAAATTAATGACGCAGAAGTACTGGTGAGTTTTATTATTTTCTGTTTTATTTTACTAGAATAATCGGAGAGAGGCGCATTATGTGTAAATCAAGTGCATGATTCAGATCATATGGAAAGAATACTTTTTGGTATACTGTCCCGTATAAATTCTGAACAGTGCGTTTTGCTAAGCATAGCGAATTCTATGGCAAGAAATAGTTTCGATTTTTTTTATTCTCCTTGATTAACCCAATATGAAAATCCCGCTACTTTAGCTTTAGTTTAACTCCAATAAATGCTTATTAATAGTTACATAAATAATTTTTTCTCAATGTTCCATGTTGTCTCCGATTTAAGCGACCTCGATAAACTTTTAACTCATTTATGTAAAGTCGGACAATTCTGACTATTCTATTGTATGGCGATGACGTGCGAATCTGTTTAGATTTTTTCTGCTTTATAACTCTTTCTTCCGAATCGAAATACCGTTGCTTTTATTAAGAAATGAATTTACATCGAAATTCTAGACTAAGAATAATATTTGCTTCGTCTTTTTTCTTTATAGCAAAAAGTGTATCAAAATTCTTCTGAACGTGATTTCGAAACGGCTAAAATTTTTTTCTGACTAGCTGTTATTGAACTGGACTGTACTTCTAGTTTACTTGTAAAAATTAGACTATGTCAATAATTTCTCATTATACTCATCAAGACGAGGCAAATTTTTCTCTCATTCTTGTCTTTAAATTCAACGAAATGAAACATTTGTTTTCGTATGCACCAATTGATTATTGAAAGAGAATGAAGAAACGAAGAATGCTATAAGATTTCAGACTGTCATCGTCCTCGTCGTAGCCTGAATGGAAAATTAGGCGCTGCATATATAAAGAAGAGAACATATCTAACTAAGTAGAAGAAATTCTTTCTCATCAGTGAAGACTTCTATCTTCTCTTCTCTTAACTGTCTTTGAGTAAAGTTCAACCCTGGATGGCCGTAAAAAAGTTCATTGTGAGTAAAAATAAATTATCTGTATTGTTTCTATCCTATTTCTGACTCTTAAAACCATAACATGTTTAGTGTTTTTACTGGCTACTATGTTTTTATTTTACATTTAAAGAGGTAAAATAAGTGATATCTTCTCTCTAGCCCTCATAACAATAAAGATATGACGGTGCCAGTTTTTCAACAAAAGCATAGAGTAGATTCTGTTTTATTGTTTAGAACGAGCGTTTAGAGGAACGGCTGACACGATTAGAGTGTCTAGTCGACGATCAACAGCGGACAATCCAAGATCAACAGCGGACAATCCAAGATCAACAGCGGACAATCCAAGATCAACAGCAGACAATCCATGAACTTGTTCGTTCTGTTGGTTTGGTTCTGAATTCACAAGTCCAAGGCCTGTTCGTATCGTTTTCTGTCTTTGGTTGCTTATAACATGTTGTTTATGTTTTTCTAGAATAGCCAACGTGGTAACGAATCTCGGTGCACAACAAGCTGGATAGGATACATTGCTAGAAAGGTATATATTATGAAAATCTAATAAAACAACATTTTTTCGTGCATTTAGTGGCCAGCGTATGGGTACTGAAATGTTGGCAAATGATACAGATTTAATTGAATCAATTCGTGGAAATATGGGAAATCAAACTGCCCATGTGGAAATTTTGATACCCTCCACGATGTGAACACGGGTTGAAACATTTTCCCACGTGTGTACACGGCAAAATAGTCTTGTTTTTCAGAATTCTACGTGCGAAGACGTGTGGAAGACAATTTT